GCACGTGGAGAGGTTTGCGTAGCTAGTAGGGTAGTAGCCATCAATTTTGATCCAGACCAGGTCAATAGCAAATGAAGGCTCTTGCCTCCCAACAGCTGTTCAGTGACCTCTGTGAAATGAGGTGGTGGCTGTCATCCAGGTCCTGGACAGCTGTCTCCCTCACAAAGAGCATCACCACAATTGGAATTAATTGACTTTCTTGCCAGATGCCTCCACAGGCAACTCATTCATTCTTTGTTTTTCCTTATTTTTTTTTTTTTACTCCCCTCCACCATCTTAATCTCCCTTTTCCTCTTCATGTTTTTGCCAACCCTCCCCAGCCCCCTGCCCCACTTTCCCTTTCCTTTCCTCCCTCTGCCTACCAGTAGGTGGCCTGAAAAAAAGAACAGCCTCTGTAACTGAGGGGAAGAATGCACTAACACCTCAGAAGCTCCCTGCCAGCTCCTGCTTGGAGGAGGGCAGGACTGTGAATGGAATGAATGCTCTCACCTCCCACAGCGCCTCTCTCCTTACCTCAGTCCTGAGTTGCTTTGCCCAAGGTGTGTCAGAGTTTACTCTGAGATTGTGTATTTTATCCATTGAGCTTTTTCCTTTCACCACTAGGCAGGGAACAGAGCTGTATTTGCAGAATGGATGGGCCCACGGGGAATTGAGTGATTCAGTAGTTGTGGTATAAACCTTTCATCATATCAACCTTTCAGGCACAACCAGAGCTCTCTAGAGGCAGAAGCTTACAGGGAGTTTGGTCTTTGCTCAGATAAGAGTTGTGCTATTTTGGGGGTACAGGATATTTTCAGTAACTATATTCCTAACACCACCGTCTCTATCAATACACCTTTCCTTTCCAGACAGTTTTGGATTTATGATTGCATTGTTTTTATGAGTTTTTAATAAAGTAAAATGAAACCTCATTTTTGTTATGCATTTGAACAAATCATTTGAATTGAAACTAAGCCTGTTCAAAATCCATGGCATGAATTGTTAACTTCTTGGATGCTCTTTTGTTCTTTTAGATAGAAATAAAGAACTAGTGGTAACTGTCATGCCGGAAAATTTACAGTCAGCTTTCAGGTCATCCAACTTCATTTTTTCAACCTCAAGAGTCAAGTAGACGAAACGAAGACATGTCATGTGTTATTTTTCCAACCAGAAAGAGGTAATGGTAGGATATGATGCTTTCTTACGATGGAAAGAGAAAAAAAATTAAACATTTTTACAGTGGTTCTGTACTTATTTAAAGCCCAAAGTGTTTTGCTCTGGGCTGTCTGTTTTTGGAATTTAAAACCTGTGTACAACACTGTATGGGGAAATTCAATTGACGTGCCACATGCTGGTTTGCGTTTAACTCATTACAATGCTGATTGCTAAGAACACTTACATGACCAAGAAGATATCCAAACCTTTCAAGTGGTCACAGGACAACCAGGCCAAGACCTTGAGTTGAGACAATATTAAACAGATGTTAAATCTCAGATATCTTTTGCAATTTACAAGATAAAATTACTCCTGAACAACTTTCACCAACAGTTTTGACCAGGACCACAAAACAGTCATTAGGGAGAAAAGTGAGGTTCAGATTTGGGAAAATATTCCACCCCAGTGACTTTCCAATGGTGCTGGTATACTTTGTATCATCTCTATGGTGGGAAACATCATGCTTGTGATTATTTTGTTATTTAATGAGCATAAAGGTACTTGAAGATCAAAGTGCTAAATGTTATTAGTAGTTATAATGGGCAATTATAAAGCAAATATAAAGAAAAATAGCTTTGAGGAGCTGTCATTTTTAAGATGGACAGTCTGGCTGGTAGAAGAATGACTTCCAGCTTTATGATTCATTTATTTATTCATTTAGAAAAAAAATGACAAGTGACATGACTAGGATGGCTATCTTCCTATTTATTCTATTTTTAAACAATTCCTCAAACACTTCTGATTTCAAAGAGAAAAAAAAAAATAAACAGTACCCAAATGTGTCACAATTCTGACTTCCAATGATTTATACTGTGAATGTGCTCGAAACTTTGCATTTAAAAAGAGAACATGTCCTGAATTTCTGCTAATCCTTCCTCTTAGCTTGGCATTTCCAAACACATCTCAGTCCCTGAGCAAATGACAAGTGGGAAAAAATGGATTATGGCTGCTGAAGTCTCCACCTGAAGGGAGTGCGGGCTTCATTCAAATGAGGGAATGAGAATCTGAGGAGCCAGATTTTAAGGCTGGGCAGTGAGTGACAGCATTATTCCTGATCAATCCACACTTTCTCCTCCTGTCATGGCTGGCTAGGCCCTCCTCTGGCACTGCGGTTTTCCCATCTACCAGCTTGTTACTTCTTTTGCTTGTCTTTTCTTTTCTCTTAATGACGTGAAGAAGCACAAAAGGATGAATGCAGTCAATTTACATTATACATATTTTATACTATACAGATTATTATATAAAATATCCATTTACTCACAAGATATGCTGGTCTTAGGACAATTTTCTTATGGGATCTATGTTCATTTTTCTGGCTTCCAAAGTCTTCTAAAGATTTACTCTATGAGCTGTAAATGTAATACTTACAATGGATGAAGCTGATGATAAAATTGAAGGCGTTGGATTGTGAGCGCTGAGTCATAGGAAAGGGCCGTGCATGAACCCCCATTTTCACAGTTCCAAGCTACTCCTTCTTACAGGAGGAGTATTTGAATAGTGCCCCTAGAGCGGGGCAAAGCATAGGCTTTCCATATGCCCATGCATTCATTTGTTCATTTATTCCTTCATTCAGAACATCTTTAGTGAGGTGAATAGATGCTACTCACAGTTCTGTGTACTGGAGAGACAACAGTACACCAAGCAGATGATAATCCCTGTCACACAGAACCTGGAATCCTCTCCTTTGATTACGTTTTTGAAAGCGAAAGAAATACCCTGCCATCCAAACAAAATGCATTTGTGTACAGAATTTAGCCCTAGGACCACCAATTAATGGCTTCTCTTTTAGCCTTTAAATTATTTCTGTGATTTTGCAAGTTTTAGCCACAGGGACAAAATGTAGCAATGAGTTGACCACAGATCTGCATCCACTGCTCAGCTCATGCTTAATAAGAGCTTTATGTACATACAAAGTGCGGCTGATTAATTTCAATTAAAATTTTATACCCCACCTCAGGGTCTATACTTGCCAATCCCTTTTTTCTAAGAAAATATAATTCTTGGAGGTGATTTGTTAGGTGAGGGAAGAGGAAAAGCAGGATAAGGAGGAGGTCATGGCATTCTGCCAAAACCTTACCTGCCTAACTGTTCTGGAGATTAATGGGAAAGTCACCAAACCAATCAAGAATCGGCTACTAATCACTTCTACATGTGATGATTTTTTTTTCAATCAAAAAAGAAAATTCCCTAAAGTTTCATGTCCTTATAGGAGTTGTGCTAATAAAAACAGGGGACATGCTGAATTTAAAGGGCTCTTTGAAAAATAATTTATTTTTCAGTCATGCAGCATCTTCCTGCCATTTAATGAAAAGTTTTAATGTGACTTGTGTAGAGGCAAAATGGAGTTACCAAGAATATCAATCACCTACCTTGTTTCATGCCAGGAGGATTTTTGGTTGGTTTTTGGTATGAGAAGTTTTAGTAGAATCAAAAAGAAAACTTGTATTAGGTTTCTGCAAACAACTCTAGAGCAATGCTCTGGTGATTCTCAAACAGTTTAAAGGCTTTCTACCTTGTAACTCATTTTGCATTTTCTTAAATAAGATCATGACTTAACAATATATAAAAGACCCAGGTGACAAATCTGGCGAAGGAAAAGTCATGGTATAAAGATATAAAGTTCACAGGTAAACATTCCTGTATTTCAAGAAATTGAGCAAAGACAATTTGTGATTGCTCTTTCTCTTTTCTACCTGCCTGCCAGGATTTTTCTCCAAGCCTTTGATAAATTATAATAATGATAATCAGAAAAGAGAGTGTCATCATATTAATCTACACATTATGTGAAATTACTTTCCCTAAAGTTTAGAAGCATTGCCTAAAAGTTGTCAGAGGTCTTGCTCTGTCTCTCTGTCTCTCTCTGTCTCTCTCTCTCCCTCTCTCTCTCTCCCTCCCTCCCTCTCTCTATCACAAAGCAAAATTCCACTGTCTCTCCCCCACCCCTTCTAAAAAAAAAAGTTGTCGAGTTTTCCTTTCTATTCACTGCAGTCCTGGCCAAAGTAAAGCCCTCTTTCTCAATGACGTCAAGATCTTTAGCAAGATTAGGCTTTCATTTCTCTATTGCAGCAATTAGCCAGGGAATGTATAAAAGGCTTCAGGGAGACTCACTGGGCTGCAGAGGGAGGCACTTTGCACACAGACAGATAGCAGAAGGAGAAGCCAGAGGGAGCGAGCAGGACCCAGTCCGCTACTGGAGAGGGGAGAGAGTGAGACAGGCTGGGAGAAGGGAACAGCAGGAGTGTATAAAACGGAGTAAAGAAAGAAAGAAAAAAAAAAAACCTACCACTAAAACACATTTTAAAAACTCTAGCAGTTCAAGAAAGAAACAGGCTACGTTTAAAGAACATAGAGACAATGACAAGCTAAGGAAAATTTTGCAGTCTCCTCCACAGTCTCATAGGTGCTTGGAAATGAAAGCAGAACAACGTGTCTTTAACGGACTCTGACAGGGGTAACTGGATTAGGGACGGGTGCGCCAGTTTCTTTCTTTCCTTTTTTTTTTTTTTAAACATCTTAAATCCTGAAAAAAAAAAAAAAAAAAAAAAAAAGGCAGCCGCTCCGAATTGAATGAATTGATGGGCACGCTCCAACTGCTGGGCTGGAGAGGCTGAACTTGGTCGTGCCATTTCTGCTTCTTTGAAAGAGGAGACAACTTGGGCTTCCTTTTAATTTAGTTTTTCTCCTTCTCCCCCCACCCCCACCTTCCCCCTTACCTCCCCCACCCCCTCTATCACCACCCCTCTTTTAAATAAGAGGGTGAAGGGGAACCAGAGCGCACAAGGGGACTGATTGAAGAAGCAAAGAAGATGGGTATCCTCAGCATAGACTTGCTGATCACACTGCAAATTCTGCCAGTTTTTTTCTCCAACTGCCTCTTTCTGGCGCTCTATGACTCGGTCATTCTGCTTAAGCACGTGGTTCTGCTGCTGAGCCGCTCCAAGTCCACTCGCGGAGAGTGGAGGCGCATGCTGACCTCAGAGGGACTGCGCTGCGTCTGGAAGAGCTTCCTGCTTGATGCCTACAAACAGGTGAGCTGTGAGCACGAGGGCTTCACCCAGCTCAACCAAGCAGAGCTTTTGCAGGCTGGGAAGTGGGGGTCCTGGGAGGAGTTTGGGGGGCAAGAACAGTGGAGCCTTCTTTGGGGGCCTGCCTAGTGCGTATGTCCAAGTGAGCCTCTATGTTTACTCCTACACCTGTTGCACAGGTTAGTTTAGGAGTGACATATCCAGCCATAATTACGCTGTGGGACCTAATCAGGAAGCTTTTAGAAATAAAGCTTATACTATATTTTGTCATAGAGCGTTTGTACCTGTAGCATAACTGGGCAAAGACAGAAAAATTAGAAGGAAGAGATGTTTATTTTGCCAGTTACCTGGAATTTTGACGTTTTGCTTGCTGGGAGGTTAGGTGAGGTGCATCAGAAAGGACAAATGAGGTAGCATTTTCCCTTTTCTTGCTGAAAAGAGAGGGTCACTTGAAACAGAAAGTTCACAAAGGAACAGGCACAGCAAGTGTGCCTGAGCACTGTCCGCGCTTCCTCTGTTTCTGGGAGAGCTGCGTGAATAAAACCCAGGCTAAGGTGCAGCCTCCTCTACGCTGGTCTGCTGTGAGTCATTAGTTATTAGACATCATTTTGCAAACTGGCTATCAGGAAACCAGGCTTTCTAAGGAGAGCCAGAGGTATTTTGTTTCTCCAAGTAAAAACAAGTTGTTTTAGGAAGAACTAATGGGTCTTATCACTGCAATCTCCTGCCTTGAGCACTGAGCCTGGCTTACCTGTAGAAGTTGTCCCCTCATTTGATCTCCAAAAACCAGTAGACGATCTTTGTTTCTAAGTTAAAAATTCTGGTGTTTAGTCTTTTTGCTGCTTGGACGTGCTAATACAGCAGTTCCAGCCGAGACCTTCAGCTGAGAGGCAAAGAACAATTTGTCACCAATCTTTTGCCAGTCTGTGCCCATCCCCCCTAGTGCCACATGATTCCTGAAGACTCCCTGGGGTTAGGAAGAATGAACTCACTCTGCAAAACGTTGCTACCAAAGGAGAAGATCTTAGTTTACTGTCACCATAGTGGGTAACCTTGCAAATGACCCCAAGGAAAGGGGTTTTAGAGGAATATTGGAGCCAGGTGTTTAATGAAGTGGCATCTGTTCAACAGACAAGCTCAGAAACAAGAGATAGAAACTCAGAATAATAGAGGGGAAGGGAGTGAGTTCTCTTTAACTAAACACTAGAAAAATAGAGGTTGTTCTACTGAAAATCAAATATTCAAGAAGAAAGTGTCTATGGTAAACTAGCTGTAATTCATGTCTTTCATAGAAAAAGCAACGTGCAAGGGGTCTGCATTTATTATCCCAAAGTCATGTGAATTGTAAGGAATCTTAGTCAATGGACTTTTTTCATGAGAAAATGAATGGGCAGTCAAAGTCCCATTAATGAAATCTCATTTATGGTATGTATGTAAAGGCAAATAAGAGTTATAAGCAAGGGGGTCCCTCGAATGATCATTCCATTTCCACAAATGTGTATACTGAATGTGAAGTTTCTATGTTGTAAGAATAAGAAATTCAGAGGCTAGAAGAATACAAAAGTGTATATAACTATAATTAAGAAGTTTCCTCATTTACATTTGCATCTTGTATATTTTAGCAGATTATACGGAAATGTTGAAGCTTGATCTCAGTATTCAACTATTATTTTTTTGAAAGACAATTGGCTTTCACTTATGGAGGAAAAATCACTTCTTGGGAGAATTTTACTTATATGCCTATATGTCTAATATAAATGTCATTTCTCACATTAATTATGAAAGCTGTGATGTTACCCACAATACCAAGTGAGGTATTTTCCCATTAAGCAACTTACTGAAATAGAAATGGAAAAGCAAACACATGTGCCTGTAACTTTTATTATTTACTTTTTCACTAATGTGTAGTGTTTCACGTGTTGTAAGAGTTTGTTATTCACATTCCAGGAAGTTGGGAAAGACGAGGGATTGTTTTTTCTTTGTTCTTTTTTTTTTTTTTTAACAGCATGTGGTTTGTATATTCTCCTCCGCCTTTCTTTGTCTCTGCCTACTGACTTTATCGGTGACCAAGTTCTTGACTGACATTATATTTGCTGTAATGATTTATGTGATGCTGCCATCAGCATATGCAAACTCAGAAACCGTATATCCAGAGAAAAGGGTGGGATGATTGTGTAATGAATGGAAACCCTGAGGATGCTGGATTTTGCTTCCTTTCTGTCTCTAAGTGTGGTTAGGTTAGTGGTCATTGTGGCGGCACTTGAGGGGTCACATGACACCTCTCAAACAGGTTGAATCACCTCATTGAATGCTGCTGTCATCTGTGCCACTGTCTTTGGGCGTGGGCATTTCTAGAGGCACTGGAGGAGGTTCTGCCTGAGATGGCATCACAGATTTCATAACCTTGACTTGCAGGCTTTGGAGGCTGCTACTTCAGAAACAGAGTTTTCCAGGATGAGGGTGTGTCCACGTGTAATATAATTAGAGCTGTCATTTGTTGTTCTTACTTCTCCTAGTTGTTAAATGCCAGAAACTTGGAAAGAGATTTAGACAAATTGGAATAAAAGGATGATCTTTGTGTTTTACCTAGACAAGAGCAACACTGAAGTTAAAGAGCAAAATGAAATGCTAACATAACCTTTGTCCATTAAAATATTGAAAGGAATTTGAAATTGTGGTGAAACTTTTAAAACTCATGGGGGTTCTGGGTATACATTCGACTGCAAACAGTCTGTTAGAAACTTGTGAGATATTCTGAGGCACACACCAGCTATTTTTTAAGTCTCTCAGCCAGTGTCATTGCATCTAGACACTGCATCCCTGTGCTGGTGTTCCAAGACTCAAAAACACAACCAATAAGCAAACTGCCCTGTCTGGGAGCCTGGCTCTTACCTAAATGAAGTGTAAAGGTAAACACAAGTATAGATGCTGACAAGCAGTTTAGTTTCTGCATGGTTAATATTGCGCTGGCATCGAAAACATATTTATTTGAACGTATAATTTTGGTTTTTGAAAGGGTCTCTTTAACATTCTCCTTCTTCTCTTCATTCACCTCAAGCCTTTTAACACTAGTTTCTACAATGGAAAAATGGCTCTTTTAAGAGAGAAACTGTCCCAAAAGGAAACAAAGAAGGCCACAGCCAGAACTTGTCTGTCACTTGGATAAAACATTGGGGAATGATAGGGCTTTGGGCTACGTTTTCAAGGTACAAATCAAACAGAGAATAGCCAAAAAGCAAGTGGAGCTTAGAAAGAGGAGTAGGTAGCTTGTTCTTCTACTCTGATTTATTTGGCCAGTCTGAATGCAGATGGTTAAATCTCTGCTTAATGATTGTTTGGCCATGTTTCTAAGGACATTGATGTAGCCTGGTCATTATGTCAAAGAATCTGACACTTCCTGATAGTTAATAAAGGCACTTCCAGGGCTTTGGATAGCAAGAAGTGTCTGTAACTCTCTGCCACACGCTCATCTCCCATTTTTTGTCACTTGCTTTGCTTTTTAATCCTGAGATTGTATTTTATCCAAAAGCTTTTCTCAGGCTGTGGAAAAAAAAAAAGGTTAGTAGTATATGCTCTATTTCCAGCTTCCCTTGATGAATGGTTCTTTTTTTCCCTCCTTGCCCTGCATTTCACAGTCCACATGTAAAGCAGCATTATCCTTTTGCCTGTGCACCAGGCACTATCAGTAAAACACATCCTATCGTTAAGAAATCACACACTTTGGAGATGTGCTGCCTTCATGCTCAAGTTCGTATTTATAAACATGTCTACTGCAACTTACAAACTTGGCTCAGAGACGCCCTCTTATAAAGATGAAAGTCCTTCATGTACCACCTTTGTTGATGCTGTTTTCATGTTGATTGCAAAAACATAGGAAAGGACAATTGCAGGAGGGCAGATGAGAGAGAAAAGTTAGTGATGACGATTATCACATTTTACGTATGTCCTTTCTGATCCTTGCAAAAGAAAGGGACCCTTTGGGAACATCGGAACTTCAAGACCAATTAGTGGAAATGACGCTTCTTGTGTTTGGGCATTAAATACTGGGCAAGGTTCTCTTTAGAACGGCTAATGCTGGCAGGGAAAGAGGTACCGACCTAATTACTCTTCCGCAAGAGTAAAAAATGCCTTTTGAATGCCTCTTTGGCAAATATGTCTCATTAAGGACAAAAAACCAAACACAAACCCTCTAAGAAGAAGAAATTAAGATGATAGGTAACTTGTGGCCAGGAGACTTTGTGTGCCACTGTGGGAAATTAAAACAAAGTTTGAGAGTACCAGGGGATAACTTGTTTTTGTTGAGCTGCTTTTCTGCAGCCTAAATGTTATTATGGGACTCTCTTTATTTTCCTCGTCATTTTGGCTCTATGTCAAGGAATGCTTTGCTCCTGGGGTGAGCAAAGACTCTTCCATGTTGAAGACAATGGTGATTCTCCCATTCCATCTCAGCAGGATTGTTAACTGAGCAAACCACGAAATTCTCCCTCTGAAACTCTATTCTAACAGGAATTTAGAAACTCTGGTCTAATAGAAATTTTGTCTGTTTAGTTTAAAGTAAATTTGCATGTTTTTTTCTCCTCTGTTTTTGCTAGATTGTTCTCCATTAGGTTTAGCAAAAATAGACAGATTTATTAGTTATATTATGCTTATAAAAGCAGACTATTGCTCTACTCATATTTGGACTTGGGAAACATGGGTGTTTGTTTTTTGCTTAGTTTTCTTAAGAGCATCAATCCTATCTGTGCTTTTTTTCCTACCTGGTTGCCTTTAAAAATAAGGATATCCATCTATGACAATCAAGTCTCTATTAGGGGTCTACTACCACTCAACAAAATAAAGAGAATTGGCCATAGCTCTTTTATTTACTAACCTGTTGAGATAATCAAGATCAGATCAACAATACTGGGTGCTAAGCATGGCAGGAAGCTACAGGAGAGTCCAAGATTTATGTTTCCAAATTTACCTGTAGCAGCAACAAGCTTATCTATCACCTAACTATAATATATTCAATGCAAATCAAGATTATTAATAATTATAAATTCTTTACTGACCTACAATTATAACCACTAGTGTTTAATCAATGATTCATTCAACAAATTTTGAAAAAGTGTATTTTGCTAACAAACAAAATGTCAACCCTGTGCTCCAAAGGGTGTTATGTTTTTGGCAACTTTCCTAATTTTGAACTGTATTGTACTGATCTTAAATTGTCCGAGGCAATTGTTCACGGTTTCTAAGGAAAATGAGCTTTAACTTTCCAGGAAAATTGACTGCAGGTAATAAGGGATCACCTGTACCTGAAGCATTGAATTAGATTATTCTGTTGAACTGTCAGGAATAACACAGGATTGACAGGATTTCTTGGGTGAGAATCTGGCAGGCAGAGGCCAATTTATCAAGACTACACAGTAGTTCATGGGTTCCAATAATGACTCCAAAGTGCAGGAGGATGTTCTCACCTGCCGCGAATTTATCAGTCTGCAGTGCAGAGATTATTTTACAGGTTACATACCTAACAAGAAGTCTCTGTGTAGCAGACTCATCCAAATGCAAATCTTATTACCGCATGTTTATGAATGTAGCACATACAATATGGTTAAAAGGAAATCTTCTACAATCATTAGCATTGTCATAAGTCACAAAGTTCTTTGTGCACAAAGAACTACAAAGAAGTGTCAAAAAGAAGCCATCTATGAGGAGGTTTATGCCTTTAAAATCTGTGTGTTTAAGTGTGAAATATATCTAAGGGCCTCAAAGGCCAATGTAGTTCACATAAAATAATCCAATGAAAGGTGGGTTAAGGGATTTCTTCATCTGGTGTCACTTGTAAATTAGCCAAGAAAATTCCAATTTCACCCTGGTGGTGACTGAAATCAAATAACATCAACAGTTTGCTTTTCAAAGGAAGATTACTTTAAGATTTCTTTTTAGAAAACTAATAGTACTTGTTTCAAACCTACCCTGCTAGGTCTTGGCAGAAGAAATAGGAAAAAACTTTACTTCTCTATTATTATAATTAGTTGTGAATTAACATTAGTAGAAACTTCTGAAAAAAATCTTTGAGGGTTTTATATCTGTTTGGATTGTTGCATCTGCAATGATTCACTTGAGTTAATAACAGTGTTATATGTGGATATTTATATGAGCAAAATAAGTCGATCTAGTTGAAAGTGTTTTGTAATAGGAAGAGCAGTGTGTAAAAATCAATTGTACTGTGGTAAGTTGTCCCTAATGTTTTTGACTTTGATTAAACCATTCTAAGCGAAGATCCAATTGTGTTAATTCAAACTGATGCAATTGGTTCTTTTATGCTGCCTGAGTTTTATTATCAATTTATAGATATAAAGGCCACAAAATTTTTTTCAGTATTCTGTGTTCAACTGCTTAAACCATGTTCAAAGGAGGCACATAGGAAATTGCTCTCTATACTTCTTGTGCCCAAATATTTCATCATTCAAAGGAGTTCGCTAATAAATTGTATGGTAGAGAAATATATGGTTTGTGACATCTTAGATAAAAGAAGGAAAAGAAACAAAAAATCATGTAAAATAAGAAAATGACCTAAAGTAGGAATTACGTTTTTGTTAGTCTCTATTCATTAATGGAAATTGTAAAGTTCTGGTCATTGGAACCATAATATAAGCAATAGTGGCAGAAACATACAGGATAGTCACTGCACTGTGAGACGCTCAAATGTCTTTTTAGGAAAATTTATTATTTTAATTAATTTATTTCTTGGTACAAGGAGTCAAACTCAGGATCTTATGCTTACTAGATAGGCACTTGTGCCAATGAACTATATCCCTGGATATTAATTTATTTTTAGTACAGTTTCCCAGAGAAAGATACATTCTGTTTCATGAGGTGAGATGGGCTGTTCAGTAACAACAGAGGATAGGTCCAGATAATGATCCTTTTCTTTTCTGTTAGTCTGTAATAACCACACAGTATAAGAAGACAGGTCTCCTTATCACGATCTTATATATGAGAAAGCATAGGAAAGGCTGAATGGGATGAATTCTCGTAAATAGTGGATTCCATGTTTCTATTGTCTATTGTTTGAGATAAAATAACTCAGCAGCATGCATAGAAAATCAGGTCCTACATGCATATTTGAAACTGAAAAAGAGGCAGTGTGTTGCAAAACCCTGACAATTTATCTTAAAGTCAACCATTTGCTTCTGACTTTTAAAATGAAGTCAATCATTTGTCACATAATACTTGCTAAGTATTGACAGCAAACTATGGATAGTAAAGAATATCTGCCTCAATTTGATTATCGAGTTACTGCCAGTGCTTCAATGATAAAAATAATTATCTTCAGCGATTATATAGAATAAAAACACTTTTATTCTCATTGAACCGTTCTTTACATTCTATGACAAGACACTTTTGTACTGAAATCAATATCTTTACCATATCCTCTAAAGGAAATACTATTTTTTGTCAACCAATGCTATCTATTTAGAGTGAATTGAAGCAGCAGTGTGTTTAATGTAGTATCCTTTTTCTTTCTTTTCGTTTTCTTTTTCCATCATTAGGTGAAACTGGGCGAAGATGCCCCCAATTCCAGTGTGGTGCGTGTGTCCAGTCCTGAAGGAGGCCACAGTGGTGGAAACAGGGTCCAGGAGAAGACTGCTGAAGGAGTCCAGTGCCACCTGCTTGACTTTGCCAGTGCCGAGCGCCCACTGGTGGTCAATTTCGGCTCTGCCACTTGACCTCCTTTTACCAGTCAGCTGCCTGCCTTCAGCAAACTGGTGGAAGAGTTCTCATCAGTGGCTGACTTCCTGTTGGTCTACATTGACGAGGCTCATCCCTCAGATGGTTGGGCGATACCTGGGGGGTCCTCTTTGTCTTTTGAGGTGAAGAAGCACCGGAACCAGGAAGAGCGATGTGCAGCAGCCCATCAGCTTCTGGAGCGTTTCTCCTTGCCGCCCCAGTGCCAAGTTGTGGCTGATCGCATGGACAACAATGCCAATGTAGCTTATGGGGTAGCCTTTGAACGCGTGTGCATTGTGCAGAGACAGAAAATTGCTTATCTTGGAGGAAAGGGCCCCTTCTGCTACAACCTTCAAGAAGTCCGGCGTTGGCTGGAGAAGAATTTCCACAAGAGATGAAATCTAGATTAGATGGTTAAAGGTATGATTGTCATAGAGCTATTATTTTTTAAAATAAACATTATGTAAAGGAAAGGACATTAAGAACTGAATCCACTATTTCCATTGAGTCCCACTGCCTCACCGCAAGACAAGAATTTACTTCTGAGAAGAACCTAAACCTCTAGCATCTCAGTATTTTTCTACTATTCAAGTAGCACTGGGCTAGATAGTAGTACTGCTGCTCTCTTTTTAGTGAAAAAAATCCAAGTTAGAGAGGAAGAAACCCCAATTCAGTATGTTTTCATTCTAACTTGAGAAATGCGTGATGCTTGCCTTGGGACCAGAAGAAAACAGTTACCTGAATAATAGTTATGTTAGAGAAGCTGCTGTCTATGTTAATAAGATAAAGCACATTGCTTATGCGTTAATCAGTGTGGATAGAACCCAACTGGAAAGTTCTGGAATCCTTACTTATAATGTATCCTTGAATCCAAGCCATATGGTTTGGGCTTTGGAGTTCATTGTGTTTGAGTAGTTATAGCTGTGCATTTCTCTGTACCAATCTACACAGTCCTTCTGAATACACAGAATTGACAGGTGTATTTGTAGATACCAAGAATGATCCCTCCACCTGAAGGTTAGAATATCTATCTGGTGGGTTGCTTTCTGGGCAGATGAGAAAAGTACTAGAAGAAAATCAAATTGGCAAGCTAGAAAAGAGGAAGCAGAAAGATTAGGAAACTTCAGAGTTTCACCTTGAAAACTATAGAAGGAAACTAATTTGCTCACCACAGAAACGTAGGAACATATACAAAACTATAGAAAGAAAATGCTTAACTAAAACAAGCACAGAGAAAACAAATATAAAAACAAAGTATCATGCACCCCTAGATGGAGGAAAAAAGAGGGATGGAAGGAAGGAAAAAAATCACACTTTTATATTTGCACTTGTGAGATTATTTTGGAAATAATTATTTTATGAAGCATGTATGTGATGCATACATTTTCAGTGAGTGAATTATACCCCATTATAATTATTAAAGGAAAAATCAGTGGGTCTAGTGATGCTGGCCCATCCTCCCCAATCCCTACAATTATAATATGTGTCTACTCATTCAAAGTCTTGGTATCTGTGGCAGTTATTATCTCATAAATGCTGAACTGCAGTGGTGGGAGACAGGTACCTTAGCCATTCAGCGACTGCTTTTCTTCCTACACCCAGTGTAGGTGGACTGTACTGAATGATAGGTACAAATACACACACATCTTCTTCATTCACAAAAGAGAAGAAGAACTATTTTGAGTTATTCAAATAATTGCGTAGGCTTTAATATAAGGCTATACTTAGTATAAGGGAATTTGGTAAAATGGAATTTCCATTGATATTCAAATTCAGAATTGGGTCTTTCTTTAGTCTCATTAGCTAAAGTTTAATAATCCAAGACCCCAATATTAGGTGATTATAATTATATACAAAAATATATATGTATGTGTGTGTATACACATACATATCATGTTTCTCTTTAAAATAAAAACAATATAGTTTTACTAATAAGTAATACCTGAAGATCATAACCCTCAAAAAAATAGGCTAGTCATCAAATATAACTATTTTTAAAAATTTAAGAATACTGTCAAATTACAGTATATGGTTGTACTTAAAAATAAAATGATAAAATCAAAAATTCTTCATTCCATTAATAAGTGAATCATAAAACTAATCATAAAAAGATAATCTCAAGGTGAGAGTATATTTGTTGGCTCCAAGGGAAAAAATAATGAGAACTGGGTGTGTAAGAATCAAAATTTTTTATGGAGCTACAAATCAGTGATAGCACTAGCTGGTATATTGTTTAGACATTAAAGCTCCATTCAGACTAATATTTTATAGCAGTGCCTAAGCTTTCCAATGTTTTAAATTCTATTTAGAAAAAAATTCCCTCAAAGAAAAAAATGAGTTTCAAAAGTGTGATGTTGTCTAGTGAATTAGTATATATTGAGAATGGATTATTTCAGATTTCTCAATTATTAAACTATTGTCAGGGGTTATCAGTGGTCTCTCTTGATTTTTATCTTTAAAATGGTGTTGAGATTCGTGGGGATCTCTAAAGAAGCAAATTGGAAAATTAGTTATAGAGTATCCACGTCATTGTCCTTAAACTTCCCTTGTACTCTACACACGTGACAATGGGACAGGATGTCAGAGCAGCTGGATGGGGGATGAGATTTGGGTTAATGCATTGCTAGTTGTCTGGGGAAAAGTGTGATGGAAACATGACCCAGTTGTGCTACATTTTTAAAGAAGTAGAATGTTGTGTGCACGCGTGCACACAGACGGTTTCCCTGGAGGATAATCCAGTGGAATACGAGGTGGAGGAAGTAAACGTTAACAGACATAGGCTGGCTGTTGGGAGGAAAGACATGTTCAGTAGAACACAGAAGAAGTTCTGGAAGAAGAGTTTTGTAAGTGAATATGGAGAAAATAGATTGTGAAAGCTCAGGAATTCTACAATATGTAGATTGGATTGCTCTTATCAGGATTATAAGTCTGTAATTATGTAACCTATTTGTCTCACTACAAACTTTTATGGTTTCCTGTGATGTACCTTTTATAAAATTAACAAGAACTCATTATTTGAGGTAGAAGAAAATCAATGCTTAGCTGATATGCTCAGAGAAATTATTATATTTTCAATACCCGCAACTCTCGTGTCTTTTATAAGGTACGTTCCCTTGAAGAATTACAGTTTTAATTCTCACAAGGGAAAAAACACATAAAACTCTGAGTTCCTTTTCTTAGCACCTAAATATTTCCTGCTGTAGGCTGTGTTTATATGAAACTATCACTTTAGCCTTTTACGCTGAATTTGCTTGTGTAGAATTGAATTAGTTCCCAAGAAATTTTCGATATTATTATAATATCTGGATTTACTCAAACATTTAGTGTTTGAAGGATGTCATGGAACTATTGGAAATTTATTTTATTTCTTATAGAAAGTATTAGTGGGATTTACAATGACTTTCCTGAATGGGCATGAATGAAACGCATGAAAAGTAATGTAGAAATGTTTCATCAGCTATTAAAAAGTAACAGACCTCCAGAGAGGCAAACTAGTCACTTGTCTTGTATAGCGAAAGTGGCAGTTATTTCCTATTACTTTCTTTATTCAAATTTTAAATCTCTGGGCCTGTGTCTTCACCTCATTTATAAAATCATTTACTGATTTTTGGTAATAACAACTGCTGAGTGGTGGCTTGATTTCTTTACAATCTTCCCTCATTAACCAAGTCTCTGATCAAGAAGGGAAGAAAATTCTATGCAGTGTTTTTCATTTTGTTAGAATATACTTTTGGGTTCTTGAATAAAAGTTATAAAACATGCTGAGATCATAAATAGAGGCTGCCTTGCTGGATAAAATACCAGAAGGACTCATAAAGATAATATTTATGACTTTGGGAAAACTCTTATATGGGTACAAGGTGGCTTTGGCATGGCTGGTAAGCTGTGTCCACAGCAAGAGAAATTTACTAACTTTTGACAGCTTCCCATTATATGAATCATGAGAGGACGAACTTGGAAATTTATTCCACTTGACTTCTGATTGATGGTTTGGAAAATGAGTTTAATTAGCATCCTTTGGCCATTGCAAAGAGTAAAATGTGGACACTAACTTGTCTATTGAAGGATTAATGAAAACCTTTACTAGCGTTTAGAACTTTTCGGGACATCCCCAATGTCATGTCTCTGGGCAGCAAAGATTGATGATGAATCTTAATTTCAAGAGCCTTTAAAATATGATATTACCAAAAGTTAGAATTAAAATATACTTATAGTCTAACATTACTTCTTTTGCCTTAAAAATAAAAGAGAAACCCACTTTCATACATATTTCCAAAAGGAAATGGAGGTATCAATTGCTGCTTGGCTATGGAGCCCTCTTGGTCTTATTTGAGGCCTTTTATGAATGGAAAGGAATGGGGCTGGTTGACCTAGGAAGCTGCTGAGAGGGAAAAAACTAACCCCGGAAGACTTAGTCTACTGATTTAAAAAGATTGGAACAGAAACTCCTTGCGGTTGGGAGAAGACTGCTGAGTGTCACTAAATGACTTGAGGATGGGCAAAATATTGGGCCACTTCCTCATGCCCTGTGTTCCAGATTGCATGAGAAACCAGGTCTCAGGCTTGACAGAGCCATCTCTGTTCCCAGGTGAATCTGACCCAACAGAGAGCAAACATGTACAGATATCCAAACAAGACTGCTCATGCAAGTCAGGGCTGGCTGCATGTCTTGGGCAGCAGCACCAGAGCTCCAGGGAGTTTATTTAATATTTACTGAAACTTTGGAGATCCAGCAGATGTTTAATGAAGTCATTATTTTGGCTCAAACTATCCTCCCTCTCACTACCTTGAAAAAAAATAAAAAAATAAAGCAAACAGGTAAACACATAAATGAAAGAAGCACACAGAAAGGGAATGGGAAAAAAATTCTCTTAAGACTTCTCTAGACTATGTCCCTCACTGGTCAGTGTGGTACTATGTGTGTGCTACTATGGGGGAGAATGAGAATGTGAAGACATAAGTATCCAATACTTCATAACCAAAGCAATTAAAAGATATTGGATAGGGAATGTTGGCCAGTTTTGTTTAGTTTTGCATCACATTATCACGGACTCACTCACCCAAGTAATCAGCGCCCGAACAGGGAGACTGAGATGTGCAGAGTTTACCAGTGTGCGAATGATAACTACTAATGAAAGAGTCATCGACTCAGTTAGTGGTTGGATGTAGTCACATTAGTTTGCCCCTCCCCATCTCTGTCTCCCCAGCAAGGAGAATATTCGGGGCTTATTACTGGGCACTGGGAAAATGTGGTGAGAATGTATGTGTGTATATCTCTGCTTTACAGTTGCAGAAAAAAGTGAAATGCTTTGGAGATTATTGGTAAAAAGAGTGTTATTATATTGGTGCTGAGTGCTATGTGTGCTTTTACAATTTGCTCTTGTATTGTAATAAACTTGGAATAAAAGAA